AATTGAAAAAGTAGCCACCCAGGTTCTTTATGTTTCAAGCTGGCTGACCCCTTTCTATCCAATAATGAACTTTTAGAAGAAATGTCTGCGTTAAATATTCATCTAAAGGCAGTACTGCATTATCTTGATGAAGAAATATATTTACAAAAGCCATGGATGAACACTTAATTTCAAATGTTTTGTCAGGCTATTGTGGAGCTGTGGTTTGGGAGGAACCTCCATCCCACTGGCTGGTGGATGTCTGATATTTAATATAACTTTAATGTGGGGCATTGAAAGTCCTTAATAAGCCTTTTAGTGCTTCATATATGGGCACTGAAAGTCAACAGTGTGCGTGGGTGCAACCACTGGTGTTTGTTGATCTGTCAGTTGAAGATGGGTCAGATTTAAATTTAAACCAAATTAGCTTTCTCACTTTGACAGTTGCACACTCATCGTGTCTCTTCACCCCACTCACACACATGAACACACACACATACCAGCAGGCACACACCCCAGTTGCTGTACTCCCACACAGAGAAAGTATGTGGGCTATAAAAGCAAACTGTATCCAGTGTGGGTTTTTTTCTTGATGTCTGTGACAATTAAACAGACAAGGAAATAATTGTCATATTAGACTCATGGCAGCGGTATAACCTGAGTGGTCACAGTTGAAAGTGAGCTTGTATTTTGAGGAATATATTCCACAAAATACTGGATCCACAACTTTAAATTGCACACCAAACAGCTGTTTTCACTGTATTTTATGTAATGCAGCACAGATTGTGTTTTGTATGGAAGATAGCCAGACAGGCCGTAATGCTATGTCCTGATAATAATAAATATTAAAAATAATACTATGGTGTCAAGGCTTTGATTTCTTGAGATGATAAAAAGTTTAGTTAGTAAATGAAACATAGCCCAAACTGTCTTAAATGTGGTCTAAAAACAGTAATCATGATCAACCACTGACAGGCACACTATCAGTCACAGTACAGTAGGTATATTTTAGGGACAGTACAGGGATTTTCCCTGGTTACTGCTGCAGTAGGTTACAATAACTGTTGTGTGCAAATTTAAGCAATCAAATAACTATCTTATGTCTGCTGATTATAGATTATTTTCGCATCATATGTAATGACACAATGAGTTTTTAAAGGACATTCTTTGCCTGATTGCCTGAAATAACTACTGAATGGATTGCCATGAAAATGTCTACAGACATTTATGATCGCCAGAGGGTTGACCTGTTTCCGATTTTCATCAAGTGCCACAACATGTAATTTGTCCAATACTTTAATTTATGATAAAATACCTGCAAAAAGTAATGACATTTCCATCAAATGTAAATGAAAAATGGACTTCATACCAGCTAAACATAATAAATACACTGGTAGTTTTGTCTCGCCTAGGTGTGGCAGTGTTTTCAACATATGCTCATTCCACGGCCAAATTAATAATAATAAATATGCAACATCTTGTTACACTTTCAAAATAAAGCTTGCTGAAGTCACAATTTAGTTAGGTTTAGGCAACAAAACTACTTGGTTGATTCTAGGTAAAGATTGTATGTGGTGAGTAAACACTTACTTTTGGTTTCACACAGGACTCGAACGGCAGTCTCTTGGGTGAAAGTCCTGTGTTTGTGTGAGACACCATCCACCTGCGTACAAATATAGGTCAATTAAGACCCAGTTTGGTGTGGAAGAACTTGACTGGCCTGTACAGAGCCTCGACCTCAAACTTATTCAACAACTTAAAGATGAGCATGGATGAATGAACAGCCAACTGTGAGCCAAGCTTTCAGTGTAAGTCTAACGCTATTGTGGCTGAAAGGGTCTGAAAAAGTCTTATGTTGTAATAGCAGCTGATTAATTCCCATGGTTTTGGAATGACATATGGGTGTAATCAGCTTGTTCCATACTTTTTTCAGTTGGCTAGGCCCAGTGTCTGTGAATTACATTTATTTTGACGATTGAGCAGCTCACATGTTACGTGCAGTGTCAATGTAGGAAGAGAATCTCTTAGCATGAACATAGTATTCATAGATACGTTTTCATTAGTTAGTTCCTTTAGGAAACAAACTAGTTCGTACAGCTTGCAAGGATGGAAGGAGGCCTGCTGTCAGAGATGGATGCAACATTCAACCCTAACCCATTCTGTACTATGATGAAACAGTTAAAAGGATACTTCCTGTGTGAGTCTCCTCTGTCTTTTTTTTTATTTAACATTTACACCTACTGATAACAGCATGGTCTCTCTCTCTCTCTCTCTCTCTCTCACACACACACACACACACACGCACACATAAACGTGCAGTAGTTAAATAAATAGAGCTGTTATTGACAGGGTTTATTGACTAGTGCGTTGATTAATGTGAAGGATGTGTGTGTGAATGTAACACTCTGAAGGTATTTAAAATCTCATTAGTCACACCTTATGTTAGATGTAAAGACACCTAACTACAGGCTTGGAATTGAATGCATTGAATTCACTTAGATCTTTTTTATTAATATTTGTACTAGTGGTAGTAGAAAGGTATATAACAAAAGCAGTAAAAAATAACTCCCATTATTATAAATAATGTTATAAGGAGTTCGGTCTAAATCTGCTCTATTTGAAAAGTGTCCTGAGATAACTTCTGTTATGAATTAGCGCTATACAAATAAAATTGAATTGAATTGAATTGAATTGAATTGAATTGAATTGAATTGAATTGAATTACCATGTGGAAATCAGGAGTGGAAAAAAATGCCAAAATAATGACTTAGTATCTTGGAATAATGTGTAACATTTTCAATATTTTGAGATGCTCAGTTTAAAGTCCATGTGAAACGGAAAGCAGAGTGCTATTTGCTTCTGTTTATTTTTCATGTAAAAACAGGCAGCAAGGGAGACCAGCCAATTGCAGTGAATGTTTGTTACGTCCCCTGTAACACTAGGTCAGCTATAGCAGACCTATTAGCTGACTCCGCTAGACTGGGAGCTCCAAGTGAACAGCACATCCACATCAGGACCAAACACATCCGATGACAACAGAGGCATAAAATCTTCTAGCGACAAAAAGTCAGGCAATCAGCAAAGTCAGTAGAATTCATTTGTTGTGGATCATGAAGGTCTGAATAAACCTGAATGGCAATCCATCTAAAAGCTGTTGAGATGGTTGGAGTGGTAGTAAAAAATAGTTTGCAGTATTATGGTTCCATTTGGTGCCTGAAATGGGCCATAATTATGTGCTAATTTTTTTTTTCCATGAAGACCCACTCCTACTCTGCCTCTGATTGGCTCTGACCCTAACACATTTTTGTAACACTAACCATCTCACTCTTCATGCCTAAACCTAACCAACCTAACCAACAAAGGTAACAAACACTAGCCACTCAGAGGCAGAGCAGGGTCGGTCTTTGTGGAATGTCGGTGGGAAAAAATCGTAAATTTATCGTGGTGTATAGGGATGTGTACCTAGATTCACAGGTGAACAAAAATCAGAAGTGCTGGTGCTGGTTAGTACTGGCCCATTTCAGACACTGGTTCCATTGTCCATGTGATATCCAGTGTCAGTAGTAGCAGGGTCAGTAAAAGTTTTCTCTGACATTATTAATAAACATTTGACTTTTCAAATGCTTGACACCCTATAATCAGCAAGAAACCTATATTTAGATTACAACAGTGGTGATTGTGTGATGCCGCTGTGAAACACACATAAACACAAAATGGAAACTAAATTCCACCCAAGGTACCCAATATTTTCTGTTTTCTGCATGTCAAATTTCTCCACCCACGGAGGGACTTTACAAGATCAAACAGGAGCAGAAGGAGTCCATGACCTGTGTGTGTGTGTGTGTGTGTGTGTGTGTGTGTGTGTGTGTGTGTGTGTGTGTGTGTGTGTGTGTGTGAGAGAGAGAGAGAGAGAGAAAGAGAGCCAGAGAGAGCGAGAGAGAGCGAAACAGACAGTTCCTCAGGAGGCCACAGGAGGGCACACAATTTTGTTTGGACTTATACAAAAATCATCAAATTCTCTAGTTTATCATATTTCAAGGAAAGCACAAGGTTGTATAATAAAACACATTTGAAATATATATTTGCAAAGGTTATACATATATATTCCCTATTTTGATTGAATCATCATTTTTGTCATGTTATGACTTTTGATTATTATTAACACTTTGCTGATGGATAATAATAAATGTAAAAAAACAAACAAAACAAAGACATTGAATACATACAAAATATATGTGGACCACTGTCACCTTCAGAATTTGTTTTCACATATACACACACACCCACCGCCTCTATAAATATTGGTTTCCTCTTGCTGATTGTAAATATCTCTAAATGACTATATTTAACTCCTCGGTGATTCTACTCTTTCCTAGAGAATAGTCAAATCAGACTGACACAAGTTTCCGAGCTCATGCAGCCTATCACAACCAATGGAGTAAATTCCGCTCTTCTGTCCGTCTCATTTGATTGTGGTTATGGCACAGCGGCTTTCTCTCTCTCGCTCTGCTCGGTAAAACTCGTCACTTTCCGATGATAATATTCCGGAATCAACACCAAATATGGAGTATGGGGATGTTCCCCTGCTCACCGGATTCAACCTTTTATGGGTTAAGACGCTCAACCGGAATTCCTCTTTTGATATCAGAGCGCTATTCGAATCAAATATACGCGATAATACATGTAAAAAACGAATCAAATTTGACTGAAACATGAAGATATTGGTGCTGCCTGTGTTCACTGTGGTTTCTTGTGCTTGTGTGTTGGTTTATGGCAGTTTATCTCTGTTTGTTATGGAGTGGAAAAAGTACGTTTTATCTCTCTGGAGCAGCGGGTTCTCCGTTGACAAGTGATTCCCTTTGAAATCGTCACGGAGCCTCCCAGCCAATCAGTATCGGCTGCGCCTCTCCCCTCTCGGCTTTCATCCTCCTCCCACTCCCTATATGGGTAATGACGTAGCGGTCGTATTCAAAAGGTTCCCCATATATACATACTAGTGCCTGGGCCGCCGTTCCCAATAACAGTTACTTTACACGGTGTGAACTTTATCACCAGAGCGCATGAACCGCACCAGCCACACTGAGCTCATCCTCTCAGACAGACAGAGACATGCAGTGGTGACCCACGCTCGGCTGGGTTAGACACTGTTATTTGTTAAAAGCTTTGAGGGAAAAAGAACAGAAAGACAAGAGAGAGCCAGCAGACGCGGTAGTGTTTTTTTCCTCCACAATGACGGCCAAAACTTTGGAGAAAGTGCCGGTGAATCTCGGGGGGTTTGTGCATCCCGTACCTGAGAGCGTTTACTCGGTGGATGACATCGCCACCAGCTTGCCGACCTCTGTGGCTATCTTCCCCAACTCCGATTTAGGAGCGCATTACGACCAGATTAATGTGGCAGCAGGTAAGATGACACACTTTTGGATTCTATGTTGAAGAAATATTCAAGTAACTACTGCTCCAAAATTTTACAAACTGCTTCAGATCAATAGAAGAAGACGTATTGTTTTGGCTGTGGCTTTCATAATAAAAGAAAAGTGAGTTAATGTTTTATATATGAATGTAATAACAAGCACATGAGTCGGTGCGTAATGAAGCAAAGACGCAACAGCGTTGTCTCACTTCAACCCCACTTTCCTGTCTAGTGTGAATAGCTTTATTAATCATGTTTTTGTTGCCTCACTAATGACCTGTTGTTTTTGTCCGCAGATGGCTTGATGGGCGCAGACATGAGTGCAGAGAAGCGGTCTCTGGACCTCTCCTATTCCAGCGGCTTCTCTCAGCCAGCACCCCACCGCAACCAGACCTTCACTTACATGGGAAAGTTCTCCATCGACTCCCAGTATCCAGGTAACTGGAACCCCGAGGGAGTGATCAACATCGTCTCGGGCATCTTCAACGTGGCCCAACCACCGCCTCCTCCTCCTCCTCCCTCTTCTTCAGCGTCCTCCTCCCCGGTTTCCTCAGGATCTCCCAATCACTTCTCCAACGGAAATTTGAGTTGCACCATGGCGGCTCAGAACCAGGCAGAGATAGACCACCACCACCACCTGTACTCCCCTCCGCCTCCTTACTCCTCATCTGGCTGCGGGGAGGTGTACCAGGACCCCTCGGCGTTTTTGTCCACCTCTACCTGCCCCATCGCCTCTTACCCGCCCCCATCCTACTCTTCACCGAAGCAGCCTGGCAGCTCAGAAGCGCCGGGGCTCTTTCCCATCATCCCCGACTACTCGGGCTTCTTCCAGCCGGCTTGCCAGCGGGACATGCACACGGCCGGTATCCAAGATCGGAAACCATTCGTTCCATGTCCGCTCGATACATTCCGTGTCCCTCCACCCCTGACCCCGCTGAACACTATCAGGAACTTTACGCTTGGGGGTCCCGGTGGTGGCGGCTCCGAGGGAGGGCCGCCAAGGCTCCCCTCTGCCTATAGCCCACAGAACCTGCCCCTGAGGCCAATTCTGCGGCCCAGAAAGTACCCGAACAGACCCAGCAAGACGCCAATCCACGAGCGGCCCTACCCCTGTCCGGCGGAGGGTTGCGACAGGCGGTTCTCCCGCTCTGACGAACTGACCAGACACATCAGGATCCACACTGGACACAAGCCGTTCCAGTGCCGGATCTGCATGCGCAACTTCAGTCGCAGTGACCACCTCACTACGCACATTCGCACACACACTGGAGAAAAGCCGTTCGCGTGCGACTTCTGCGGCCGCAAGTTTGCCCGGAGCGACGAGAGGAAGAGACACACTAAAATCCACCTGAGGCAGAAAGAAAGGAAGTCCTCCACTATTTCCTCCTCGTCGTCCTCTTCGTCCAGCAGCACCGGGCTGGAGCGGCCGTCAGGCGGAATCAGTGCAACCAACGGGATTTGTTCATAGTTTCTCCTGGAAAACGTTGTCACCATGGCAGCGTGACCCACACTAACCCCTTAAAAGAAAATAACTTTTAAATAATGATTCTGAAACTGTTGTGAACTAAAGATAGCCTAAATACCAGGATGAGGAGGAACTTGTGTGCAGTCGTGCGCAATTACGCACATCCAACTATTCCTGCTCCAGGACTGACCGAGAGACTGACACGAATGCACTTTGCCTGCACAGTCTACTGAACATAAGAGTAAATATGGCCAATAATTCATAAGAATATACAGGGGCGGTTGTAATATAAAGGGGATTTTTTTAATGTCGCCAGCACATGTTGGGCGCACAACAGGCTACGCGTTTAAATGTGAAATAACTGCAATAATGTTTTGAAGAAAGAAAACTGTTTTAAGTTATTGAATTGACAAAATGTTCATTCTAACATGTTTGTTGATGACTATATTCCCCTTTAGTGCCTTGCTGTGTGTCTTTTTGAACACTGATTGATTCAAGGACGCTTCTAATGCAATGTATATTTGTCCTTTAATATGTAAAGTTTGAAGACATTCTATTTTTGTACACATTTCGTCTTGTGTAACTTCAAGTTGTGGTTCCCGTGTAAAACAATGTTGGAGTATAAATGTGTTGAACTCATATCGACTTGACATTTTTGTTGTGATGTGTTTTTTGAGACTTATTAAATGTATGGGGATGATAAACACAGCCGCTATCAGTTTGGTTTATTACTCATAACTAAAGCACAACATCTGTATCAACCGAGATGCGTTCATGGAACCCAAACGTCGCTTATTTGAAAACGGCTAATAATTCTTTTATCTGTATTTATAAAAAGAAACGTAAAGCTGTTGATGTTGGAAATTCAATCGGGTAAATCCCTTCTTGCGTCACGCGTGGCATCTCTGACTCAAATTTTATCACCCACTCACTTTTTATTTAGGTATCACATCGGGTTATAAACAGGCTATGATCTTACAGCAAAAAAAAAAAAGTTTTTTTTTATTTTATTTTTTACATAATGTAAAGCTTAACTGGTCTTTGAGAGAGAAAGGAAGCAAAAATTGACCTCAGTCAAAAGAAGTCATTCGTTTCTAAACACGTTCTACAAGAAAATATGAAACATATATAAATGGGCTAAATAGAATATTTAGAAAATAAATATATTTCAGACAGCATTCAGGTTCAGATTTTATTCAGATTTTAGAAATACCGAGTTAATAAGTAGAAATTATCCCAATGCAGCCCCCCTATTTTCTTCTTTTTTCAATTTAGTTAACAGTTCAATTACATTTTCTTTAAAGCTTATTTCCCAGTATGAAGGAAAGCTAAATGCTGCTACAAAGCCTTTTTCACACACTGCAAGAAATACAGCTTTGGTGGAGAAATACTGGATCCTTGATAAATGTACTCATTAATTTACTTTTATTTATTCATGTTTATTTGTTGGACCAGAAGTAGAATATACTGGATTTAGAAGTACTGAAATCAGCCTATAAAAGACCCATTATGTGAATGTTTTTAATTGTACAATCTAAAACTCCTTCAGGTTAAATTTACAGGAAACAATACAAAGGGCATGACTACAGTGTTTATTAATGCTGTAAATTCTGTTATTTTTAATTTGCTCCTTGAAACCTATCATTCCAAATTTTTAAATATGCCTTTTGTTTTTTGTGTATTTTCTTGTTGCCTCTGTCTGTAGTCTATATCATTTGTTGTGACTCACAGCGAAACACATGTCAGGAGTGGGCAATATGGCCACCTGATACTTCTCCATTAACAAAATGTCCATATATTAATACAGACCAGGATGTGGTATAGCAGAGTCATTTATGGTGCTTACTTTGGTTTCTACAAATGCATTAGAGTGATTTTTTTTATGTGAAAAAAACAAAAGCTGCTTCAGTTTATGGGCCAACAGTTCCTGAAAGAAAAAGAGAGAAACTTGCGGAATAAGTATATGTTATGTTATTATGACATTTAACTAATACATTTAAGATAAGATAAGATATTCCTTTATTTATCCACCTTAGGAGAAATTCAGGTTGACAGCAGCAATAGGGCAAAGTAGTGCAAAATAGGGAACAAAGAATATCCAAAATAAAAAATATTACAAAATACAAAATATAATAGAAGATGTAAAACTATAAATTAAAGTATATACACTATGCATTGTTCAAGTAGGACATGGAGTGCAAAATATGAGCAGAAAATTAAACTCGACTAAAACTAAAAAACTAAAACTAAACTGTACAAGTGGAAATTAAATATAAATAGCGCAAAATGTTTGTGCGTTGTCGTAGGAGTTTTAAACCAGTCTTTGTCTGCAGGGGTTGGAGGTACTGTGGCGTTGTGGAGTCTGATGGCAGATGTAACAAAACGAGCCTCCAAACCGCTTCGAGGCTCGGGGCTGGGTCAGTCTGTAGCTGAAAGTGCTCCTGAGCTGCCTGAGCTCAGTGTAGAGAGGATGAGAGGGGTTGTCCATGATGGCTTTCAGCTCCCCTTTCATCTTCTTCACAGTCACAGCCTCCACACTGTCCAGCTCCATCCCCACCACCGAGCTGGCCTTCCTCACCAGCTTGCTAAGCTTGTTGGCACCCCCAGTGCCGATGAGACCACCGTAAAGAAGAGGACACTGGCGACTACAGACTGGTAGAACATCCGTAGTAGCCGAGTGCACACGTTGAAGGACCCGAGCCTCCTTAGAAAGAACAGCCTGCTCTGTTCTTTCCTGTAGAGGGCCTCAGTGTGCTCCTTCTCCCTATCATCTGAGATACAGCCGACAATGAAGGAGTCATCAGAGAACTTCTGTAGATGGCACGCTCCAGAGTTGAAGCAGGAGTCAGAGGTGTAGAGGGTGAACAGGAATGGTGACAGTACAGTTCCTTGGGGTGTACCAGTGTTGCTTGTCACCACATCTGATAAGCAGCTGTGCAGTCTGACATACTGTGGTCTGTCAGTGAGGTAGTCAGTGATCCAGGCCACGAGGTCCTGATCCACTTGCATCACAGAGAGCTTTTCTGCCAGCCGGAGAGGCTGGATGGTGTCAAAGGCACTGGAAAAGTCGAAGAACATGATCCTCATGGTGCTCTGTGACTTCTCCAGGTGGGTGTAAGCTCTGTGAAGCAGGTAGATGATGGCATCATCCACGCCGATGTCAGCCTGGTACGCAAACTGCAGTAGGTCCAGGCAGTCGCCTACCAGGGGTCTGAGGTGCTGCAGAACCAGTCTCTCAAAGGTCTTCATAACACATGACGTTAAGGCTACAGGCCCAAAGCCTTTGAGAGTGCTGGATCTTCCTTTTTTGACATTGACGCTAATGCAGCACTGAATGCTGGTGCCCTACTGCGACATCTAGTAGCACTAAATTCATATAAACTTTAAAGGTACAGTGTGTAACATTTAGGAGTATCTATTGTCAGAAGTGGAATATAATATTAATATATAAGGTATGTTTATGTTTATTAGTGTATAATCACCTGCATATAGGAATCACTATGTTTTTGTTGATGAGTGTTTTATATATACAGCCACCATGTTGAACCACCATGTTTCTACAGTAGCTCAGAACTGACACACCAAACATTAGCTCTAGATAGGGTCATTCACATTTGGTGTCTCCTTTGAGCTTGAAAGGGGAGGGTGAAGTGAGGGAGTTGCAATCTGCCACAAAATCCTACACACTGGACCTGCTGCTTCCCCACACTGTCAGTGCATTTGTCTGTCATACTGGAGTAACACAGTGACTAACACAGTGATAAGGTTGGTTAATATCACAGCAAAACAGGTTTCTTTCTGGTTAAAGCATTGTTGTGATTGAGGTATTATTTGTATCAATACCCTTATTTGAAACACAGCAGTTTCTCAGTATAAAGTTATTTACATTTTATTGTTTATTTCTACCTATATAGAGAGATTTATACAAGCACAGTGTCTATTTATTTTTAAATGGAGTCTTTTAATGCACACATGGTACACAGATGCATAGAAAAATTAATAAAATAAAAGGAAATAATTGCTGCTCAGTTTAAGCACTAAATTATTAGAAATGCCACATTTTGGGGCGCCTAGATAGCTCACCTGATACAGCTGGCGCCCCATGTACCAAGGCTGAGTCCTTGCTGCTGAATTCGACCTGAGGCCCTTTGCTGCATGAACATTTCCAGTCAAAGACTGGACTTATTTGAATTGCCTGTCTATTTTTTTTTTATTTTCATTTTGCTATTTTTAATGGATTTTCAAATATATCGTTTGTCAAATTTTAAGTTTTACTCTTACCAATTTTTGGAGGTGTAACTGTTTGTAAGCACCCTCTGATTGGTTGTTGCATTCTGTGGCTCCAATGTAAAAGTGTTGTTTTTTTTATCTTGTGAGTTTGATGCCAGCTGAAGGTCTATCATCAAAATAAAGCATTTTAATAGGCATAATGTAGCTTTAGCTAAAAATATCTCAGACTTGTCCCTGCATTGGACACGTGGAATAAAAATTATATTAATCTTCTTATTTGATTCTGGGGAAGACCAAGCACATTACTCAAGTTTCAGACTTTTGCTTTTAAGAAGCTGCATGAAGCCTACTGTAATCTGTAACATCTTTATTCTTCTGACGCCAACTTGACCACAAGAAATGAGCAATATTGTAGAGAGTCATCATGACCTAGACAAAGAACGTCACTGTTCTTCACCCTCTCCTCTTCTTACTGACAGTCTACAGGGACAGATCTAGAGGGTTGGCATGTGGTGGCAGCTGCCATCACTAAAACATGCCTGGCCAGCCCAGTTTGGTGTCAAAGGCTGTCAAATTGAACACATTAAATTTAGATTAATTAAAAAAATAATGTATTAAAAATGATCTGTTATGGCCACAATTTAGACTCAGTGAACAGCTTCAGTTCAACAAAAAAAGATTTGGAAAAATATCTAAACATCTGGAAATAAAACTATGTATTAATTTCCAATGCAACCTTTAGATATTTCTATTCAGTGTTTAACTAATGTGCCACAGTAATGTTTTTGAGTTTAAATATCTAACTTTGGGGGCTTTTCCAAAAACATCGATATATATGATGATATTGTCAAAATGTTGACAGTTTGCCATTGAATCAGCATATTGTTCTGCCACCCCTTAAAGTCTCCACACCACTATCTTGCCACCTAGTGAACATTTCTTTAGATCCACCCTTGACAGTCCAGTAACACTCTACTTAAAGCAGATGTAGGCAACAACATCCAATTCTGCCTGCCAACAAATAGCTTCTCATTTTTGAGTCACATCACAAACATTCCCCATATTGATATACTGGTCTGGTAATTTACACTGGAAATTGAGGATAATTGAATTTAATAGGAGCCACAGCCAGTGACCTGACAGACAGGACTGCTGCATCCTCAGTACCTTAGTGTAGCCAAGTAACAGTCAGTGTCAGTCTCTAGACCATGTGCATGTGTGAAAGTGCTGACATTAATATTAGCACTGTACTGAACAATATTTTACATGAAAGGAGGCTAAAAAGCTATTCTGACACATTTACCTGCTGGTGGACACAGCAGCTGGGATTAAACCTGCTTTTGTGATTGTACACTAATGAAAACATAACTATGAATATTATATTCCATTTCTAACAATAGATCATCCTATATGTTACACACTGGACTTATTTTAAGAGTTTAAGGCAGAAAATCTAAATATATTTAACTTCACACAGATTTCTTCAAATCTTACCTAAAATTAAGTGACAACAAATTAACAATAATGTTCAAGTCCTACCACAAATGCTCTACTATGTTGAAGTGTGGGAGAAGACTTGGCCTGTCCGGAGGTTGACCTTTCTTCACTTTTTTTCGATGAAACTGTCTCTGTCTGGATTTGACTCTGTTTGGGGGTCATTGTCCTGCTGGGGGGAGAATCCTCTCAGTCTCTTTTCTTGGATGGTTTAAAGTATTATCCTCTCTCATTTTACCTTCTGTTCTCATGTTTTAAATATAACATAAACATATTCTATATTTCTTTAGACTGCAATATTCAACCTTTTCTTACATGAACATTTCTCAACTCAACTTAACTCAACAAAATTTATGTAGCACATTTGTAACGTTCAACTGCACATCTCAAGTCTGAGGACAAGCCAGCCATCGGGTCCATAAGCATTAGATGCCTTATTTTTAGGGACCGAGCACTGACCAGTGCAAGGCCCTATTGTAATGCAAGGAATTATTATTATTATTTTCTGCCTTATCGACCGCATATTTGGTGGCCGCAACATGCTCGAAAAGTCAGGGAAAATTGCACAAAATTCAAACGCAGCGAAAATACCGGTATGCAATTGTGCCCGTACACGGGAACTGCCAAATGGCTAAGCCCCGTCCCCGAATCAGCCCTCAAGATGTGTAAGGTCGACGCGTACGAAAACCGGTACGCATGTGTATTGTAATAAAAAAAAAGCAGAAAAGCCTCTTGGACCCATCCCTCAAACCAAACAGGAAGTCGGCCATTTTGGATTTAGCAGTCATTTCTGGCGATTTGCACACGTTGTATTTGAACAAACTCCTCCTAGGGAATTTATCGGATCGACTCCACACTTGGACACAACCATCTAAACACATTCACCATTAAAAAAGTTGTGCTATGTACGTTATTCCATCGAACATCGTGGACATGGCGTGGCGTCCCGTGTCGTGCAATTTCGATCCCTCGCCATAAAAAGAGGGATTTGTCATAACTTCTGCTAACATGATCCGACTGCAACGAAACTTCACATGTTTGATAAGAGTCCCGCCCTGAACACGCCTATGTGATAATATTCTGTGATAGTGAGAGCGCCACCTAGTGGCAACAGGAGGTATAACGTTTTATACTTTCATGTTCTACTCCTAGCAGGATGATCAGATCCAGCTGAAATTTCCTTGTAAAATGCAAAACACATTGTTGATGATATGTGTTGACTGTGGTGAGTGGGCGTGTCTGTGACGTGGCGGGGAATTTTGATGTACCACCAGAACACACAAGTTCGCTTTAACTTGAGTGTACATTGTCCAATCGGCTCCAAACTTCACTTGTCTGATAAAAGTCCTGCCCTGAACACGTCTATGTGATAATATTCAGTAATAGTGAGAGCGCCACCTAGTGGTGAAAGGAAATATATTTTTTTTAATTTATGTATATCTCCCAGCAGATTAACTAGATCCTACTGAAATTTTTTCAGCAGTCCCTTAGGAAGATGACAAAGACATGTCACAAATCTTAAGAATTTTTGTCAAACCTTGTTGCCATGGCGACGTGGTGGAAATCAGCTTTTCTGTTAACATTTGAACACCTTCTGGGGGGCTAAACATGCCCAAACATTCATGAAATTTTGCACAAAATTCAGTCATGGCAAACACTAAGGTATTGTCTTGGTCTTGCGGATGACCAAGACATAATGGCTAATCCATTATGCCACGCCCCCCCAGAATCAGCCCCCAAGACACGTAAGACCAACATGTATGAAAATTGGTAGGCATGTGTATCATGATGGGACAAGCAAAAAAGCCTCTTGGACCCATAACCCAAACCCAACAGGAAGTCGGCCATTTGAGTGAATTTCGTGGTCATTTTTGGCGTTTTTTTGCGTTGTATTTGAACAAACTCCTCCAAGGGAATTTATCGGATCAACTTCAAATTTAATCAGCGCAATATAAAGACATTCATGATTAAAAGTTGTGCTATTACGACATTACGAAACGAACGGTGTGCCCGTGGTGTTGCGTTGAATTTCGACCATTCACCATCAACACTCTACAGTTAACTTCACATATTTGATAAGAGTCCCGCCCTGAACACTTCTTTGTGACAATGTTCAGATATGAGAGCGCCACCTACTGGCAGAGACAGTGGATGTAAACAGTAGAAAACTATTGTTATGAAACAAGTTATTCATGACAATTCTTAGTGATTTTAAAAATGTTCTTTACCTCAAATTTTAACATGAAAATAAATTCTGGCTTGGTGTGTGATTAGTTTTGCACTGAAAATGCCAACATTAACTCATGGTCATGCTTTGGTCTCTATAGGAAAGTTTCTCATTCACAACAACTGTACAGGGTGTGTATCGTATTTGTATATAACTCACCCACTTATATTAAGCTTAAAGTTATACATAATTAAGGGCATGGCTGCTTTGTCAGATGGGTGAAGGCTGTGTGCTTCATGTCTTTGCCCATTTTTGGATAAGCCAGTAGCTGGCAGAATCAACCCCAAATTCCACCGGGTATGGCTGCAAAACATTCTGACTTCACCGCAGCCTAGGCCCACACAATGCTGCTCCATGTAGAAAATGCCACAAACCACTCGTGTCATGCATTGGTTTCAATGTTAATGTTAAAAAATTGTATTGGGTTAGAAAGAGAGAGAAAGAGAGAGAGAAGGAGAGAGAGAGAGAGAGAGAGAGAGAGAGAGAGAGAGAGAGAGAGAGAGAGAGAGAGAGAGATGATGATGACGACAACAGTCACAGTGATGGGGGACGATGGACAATAATAACAATAATAATATCAGTAATATTAGCAATATTAGCAGTGGGAGTCAAGCAGGACAATGGCAGTAGGCACCACCAGGATCCATGAGAACCTGCGAGACAAGAGAGCATAAGAACTCCAGGGAAGAAGTGAAGTTAGTATCATGCATTAATAGGACATGAATGTGTGCAGAGAGGGAGAGGAAGAGAGGAGCATAAGTAAGGGATGGTTCAGGACTCACCTAAGCCAGCCCTAACTAGATAGATAGATAGATAGATAGATAGATAGATAGATAGATAGATAGATAGATAGATAGATAGATAGATAGATAGATAGATAGATAGATGGATAGATGGATAGAGGGATGGTTCAGGGTCACCTGTCATTTGACTACAGCATTTTATGTTGAATTTGGATAAAACCCTTGTAATATTAGTTTTTTTTTTAACTATTTAAACTGTTTGCACACAGCAGAAAAAAAATCAATTTTACCAATAAACCTAATTTGCAATGGGGGTTAAATCATTTTGATTTCAACTGTTGGTCTATAGTTGGCTAAAACCCCTGGGACAAGAGTGGGTTTTTAAAGAAGGGGTTTAATTACAGCTATTTTAAAAGGACTGTGGTACATAGCCTGAAAATAAAGAAAGATTATACAGACATCATACAGAACTAGCAGTACAAGACAGAAAAAGTTCCATGATTATTACATTCATCTATTTTATTGTTTCACATACATTCAACATCAGTGGCAGAATCACTGTCAAACTGACACACTAACCTGTGTGAAGTCTTATATAAGCCAAAGGAGGATTGAGATATAAGCTAAAGTCTAACATACAGGTTGGAATGATATAGTGTTCATCAAGCTACATGTAAAGATAATGAAGAAAGTGTGTTAGCTTTATACAATGAAAATGACAGTTTTTACTTAGCCTATACGTTCTGAACTGGTTTAAAGACATCATTCAGTCTTTAAAGGTCCAGTGTGTAACATTTAGGAGGACCTATTGTCAGAAATTGAATATAATATTCATATGCATGTTTTCATTAGTGTATAACCACCTAAAAAATAAGAATCATTATGCTTTTGTTACCTTAGAATGAGTTTTTATCTACAGATGTTGCAGGTCGCCTTCTGTGGAGGCCACCATGTTGAACCACCATGTTTCTACAGCAGCCCAGAACGGATAAACCAAACTCTGGCTCTAGATAGGGCTGTTTTTTATGTGTTTTGCAGCCACCGTAGATTCTCCTTCGCACTTGGAAGGGGAAGGAGAAGCCAGAGAGTTTGAATCTGCAACTACACCACTAAATCCTCAACACTGGACCTACAGTATGATATGATGCATCATATATACTATATGACTCTAGATTGAGTTACAGTAGGAGACATGACATCACAGAATATGTAGAAAAAGTTGAATATCATCTTTTTCCCCTATAAACACATAAAATAAAAATAAGGTATATATTATGTAGTCTGTGCACTTTGGAAGAGGAAATGAGTGTGTACAATAGAAAATGGCACTCTTAATAAGTATACATTCAATATTCAACTCGAGTTACAGGCTTTGGCATTAAGACATGTTACAATATGGAAGTCCTCTGCAGCAGAGTGTGAAAAATGTGTACAAGGTTTCCAAGCCTCACATAAGAGAACCTAATGACACCCCAGCATTCACAGAACATTTGACTGATGACATTCATGTGTGTACAAGGCAACCTAATAATCCTGACAAATATTAGGAATGTGAATTCCTTGAGTCAAATCTTTTCTCAGTACAAAGTTATTAGCGGTTTGTGGAAGGCAGTTCAGTGGTCCTGATTCTCTGTCAAGCTCATGTTTCTACAACTTTCTGCCCTGCTGTAGCATCCTTTGAGCAAGGCATTCAATCCCTTTGACTTCCAGGAATTAATAATGACCCTCATGTTTGATTTCCCTGTGGAACAGGGCTAACAGTTTCCCCTTGTGGATAGATGGACAACACTATGTTAACACGGTCATATACTGCAGTGTGCTTCCTCTGATCAGAGGTTTCATTCAGATCGAGACTGCAGGGCCTGGGTAGGGTTCCCCACCACACCAGAAGTCCTCTGGTTGAGGGACTTCTAGCAGCCATGTCTCCTCTTGTTTCTCCTTCTCCTCTTCCTGCTGCTCCTCATTTCTCTTTCCATCAGTTTCCCCCTCTGCCATAGTTTGCAGGACTTTGTAATAGTGACAGTCCCTTCCATCATCTGGATTGTACGGAGGTGCCAGGATATCCAGGAACGCAGCCGGCCCCTCCACTGCGTCAATCTGATGAAGGTTATCCCGTACAGGAGTGAGGAGGCACGGCCCGCTGTTTTCTGAGTATTCAGCGACTGAGCGAAGCACGGAGCGCCGCAGAGAGGCCGTCTGGAACGGAGCCAGTGGAGGCTCGAAATGAGGCGGCACAGTGCTGAAAGTCAGGTTATCCTCCAGCTTGTCAAAACAGCGAACACTCACCTTCCCATAGAGAACCTGAATAAGAGACAGGATACAGTTAGAAAAAATCCTGCAGCTAAAACAATTCATGTTTTACAAAGAAAACTCAGTCTCACTAACTATTTCAAGTCATTGCCTTTGTCTCTCCCATTGAGGACACTATGCATAACAGGATATATTTTTTTACTTCCAGGAAATATAACACTTTTCTTGTAATTTCCAGGATTTCTTGCCAAAATCTAATTAGATTTTAAAAACAGAACTCTGGATGATATTCAGATTTTTTTCTTTTGTCATTCTGTTATTTTCAGTTGTTACTACAACAAACCAGGCGTTAGTCCACGACAACCATACATCATATGTTCCTCAACCATTGGTTCTCACTCTAGTGGTACATGAAGAAATCTCTATAATTTTTCAAATTACTATAATATATCAAGGTGGAACGTAACCAGGTTGTAAGTAGAGCTTCAAAGTGCAAAAAGAAGAAACAGAAAAAAAAATAGAGTAGGCAATCTACTGAAAACTGCATTTAAACTCAAACAGGCTGTTCATCAGCTGATCAAAAGTTTAGGACCATAGCCTTAAAAAGTCAAAATTCTGGCTTTCATATCATTTTCTATCAGGCATTCACACTGTCATGACCCCCTGATGGCAAAGGCAAAAAGGCTTTCTGTCTTTGAACGTGGCTGGATTGCTGAGCTGCAGAAGCAAGGCCTCTCACAAGGCGCCATCGCTTCCAAAGTTGGACGCAGCAAGACATCTGGTCTTTTTCATTTTAAATGTCTTAAAACATCCTGAGTTATTAAGTGGTAGAACCAATACAATTTCACCTGCGCTGAGCCAGAGGATCCCACGGGCTGTCCGTAAAGACACAGGCTGATCCTCGACCCAAATTAAGGCCCTTACGGATGCTGACTGTAGCCCAATAACCATCAGACGGCATCTGCGTCAGAAGGGCTTAAACAAAAAACAACAATGCGACAAACTTGTCTATTTGCACTTTGCAAGGGAACACCAAACATGGGAAATTGAAAGGTGGAAGTTTTATTCTCTGATGAGAAATAATGTAACCTGGACGATGCAGATGGCTTCCAACGTTACTAGCATGACAAGGTGATCCCACTGGAGATGTTTTCTACGTAACACAGTGGAGGAGGCTCCATCATGGTCTGGGGAGTTTTTTCCTTCAATGGAACAACGGAGGTTTAGGTTGTGCAGGGACGTCAAAACGCGGCTGGCTATGTGGAAATGCTGCAGCGGGCATCCCTCATCTGAGGGCCCTCATCTGTGTGGTGATGACTGGGTCTTTTAACAGGACAACGCTGTAGTTCCCAACACCCACCTGACAAAGGACTTCTTCCAGGAGAATAATGTTGCTCTTTTGGTCCATCCTGCGTGTTCCCCTGGTTTAAATCCCATTAAGAACCTTTGGGGATGCCCTTCGTAAAGCAATCTTTACTATCTTCATCCCTCTGGAAACACTCGCATCAAGAATGCTCAAGGAATTTTTGAAGTGATCAACAACACTGGTGGGGCTACTCAGTCCTTTTTTGACACTTTTAGTTCTGTTTTGGGTTTTTTTTTTGGGCTATGGTTTTAAACTTTTAATCAGCTGATGAACAGCCTGTTTGAGTTTGAATGCAGTTTTCACTAAATTGTCTACTTTTTTTGTCTCCTGTTTCTTCTTTTTGCATTTTGAAGCTCCACTTACAACCCGGTTATCATGCCAGCGCAAAATGCAAATACTTGGAACTTTTCCCCCGGTCTTAAGATTTGTTCAGGAGTGCATTATGTGGACATAAAAGGAATGGTTTCAACTATTGGGAAGAGAAGTGTGGACCAGGAGTTAAAAATTAACTTTGGTTCTTGAATCAGTTCTGTTCAGGAATCAATGTTTGAGTATGTATATAAGCAAATCCATACTGATAACAACAAAAAGCAAACTACAAGCGAAAAAAGCACCCACTCTTGACTACAAAATTAGCTCTGATCCTTGAAGCATTCCCGTTCAGGAGTCAACGATTTTACGAGCCATTTTAAATCGAAATCGATCAAAATTACATCTCAATCTCGAACTTCGAACTCAAAGGTAGAATTGACGATGCAGGCACACCTCCAATGTCACGTCCAGCATGTATGCCCAGACGCAAAAACACACACACGTGCTGAACCGCGGCGTCAACACTCCTCTAATTTTAGGCTGCAGCCAGCTAAAAAATACACATCAACCGACCGAAATCGAAGCTCCTGCTACTCTGAAATCACCAGTGTGGAAGTATTTTGTCGTTCATTCACGTCAATTAACACTAACTTAGCCTACTCAACTTAGCAAGTGAAAAGATGATCTAGTTACAGTCCAAAATTACTTTAAGGCTTAAAATGCACATTGATAAGTACATATTCCATGAACACTAACCTTGGGTCTCTTCGGAGTGTGCTGAAACGATCAAATCATCATTCGGTGTTGTTTCATTTCACTATGTTCAGGTCTCTGTTTAATGTTTGTTCTGTTTACAACCTTGCAGTTGGAACGGTTTCAAAATAAAAAGCGGTTTCAAAATAAAAGCCCCCCGAAAAACAGAATAGGAAGAGGCCAAAAAAAGTAAATGACATATAAGGAATGCATTAATAGTAATATTAAAAAAAAGGTTGAAAATCGAATCGAATCGTGACTTTAAAATCGGAAATTAAATCGAATCTAGGATTTGGAGAATCGTGACACCCCTAATATAATAAATAATAATAATAATAATAATAATAACATAGAGGAGTGTTGACGCCGCAGTTCAGCACGTGTGTGTGTTTTTGCGTCTGGGCATACATGCTGGACGTGACATTGGAGGTGTGGCTGCATCGTCAATTCTACCTTTGAGTTCGAAGTTCGTTAGACAGATAACGTTAGACAGATAACGTTAGACAGATAACGTTAGACAGATAACGTTAAAAGCTACTGCAATCTTCTTGCTACCGTTAGCTAGATCTAGCAGCTGTGCACTTTGGTGGTGCTAGGCTAACCAACGCGTCTCAGCTCTCTCTCTGAAACGGAGGCACCCCTTTGCCACTCGCGATGGAGACAACAACAAGCAACCACCAACGCTGGCCAAATCAATCTCATGCCCGTGCAGCGCGCCGCACAGCCCGAGCTCCGCGCACCCCGGTGGCGCCAGCCAATCACCGCAGCCCCCCGCGCAGCCCGCCCGCAGCAGGCCAGCAGCCAAAGCCCACGCCAGCCAACGTTAGCTACTATAGATAGCTGTGTTCTGCAGCCGTAAGCCAGCTACCATTCAAGCCAACATTAGATGATAACTAACGTTAGCTAAACACAGCTGTCTAGGCGCCAGTAGCTACCCAACGTTAACATTAGCCACCAACCCAGCACGAACAAACCGCACGGAGAGCTAAGACAGCCAGCCAGCACCACTGAAGTGCGCAGAGCCCGAGCCACACAACACACAACACACCACACAAACATGAAACCAACCCAGCCAACGCCAGCACCCACCCGCCACCGTCTCCTCCACGAGCGACAACGGGGCGCCTCCGCCCCAGATGCTCCCACATTGCCAAATGGCGTTAGCATACCACACCAGCACCACAGCAAAGAGCGCCAATAACCACACCTTTACGTTTGGGACTAAATTTGAAATATTCCCATACCTTCGATGATTTAGGGCGAGCTGTTTTTTAAAAGGACTTTTTCTTTTATTGGGGCTTTTATTGGGAATTCTGTGAGGAGGTTGCTGTTTCGTCCTCCATTCTGCAATGTTTTGGTCTCCCACGTGTGTGTGTAGAGCTGTGGCGAAGCGTTGACGCAGGATTTTGACATCACTACAGGCCTAGTTTGAACACTGGTCAGGTCTGATTCTGTGCATCATCACCTCAGTGTGAACAGTCATATCAGAATTCATGTGACTTTTATGTAACTCTAGATTAACATTTAGGTGACTTCAGGACCATGAGCTGTTCAGACTGGAATCTGATAAGGGCCACATTCAAAAATATGTGTGAACAGCCAAACAAAAAAATCAGATCAGTGCAATAAATCAGACTTGAGCGCTTAGGCTTGCAGTGTGAATGTAGCCTAGAAACACCAATCAGAAGAGCTGATCAGATGACACATTTATTATTTTCCACATGAAAGTTAAATTCACCACACATAGATTTACTAGTGGGCCACCCAGTATATAATGGCCAGCTACTAATTTTAGCATTTTACAAAGAAACAGAGAGAGACTTTATCTGGTAGCGCAGGCATACATTAATTATTAGTTACATGCTAATCTGTGATGGTAAAATAGTAAGTGGAGGTAAAATGAATGGTTCAAAAACACTGCAATTGTGGCACCAAATGGGAACTATTGGGAAGAGAAGTATGGACCAGGAGTACCGCTCTGCCACCAAATCAGTTCTAGTTCTTGAAACGGTACTGCTCAACAACAGACAACAATAAATTATCTTCTTATTAGGAATAAACCTGCCTATGGCCTACGCTACTGTATTAACTAGGGCTGGGCAAAATATTCTCAAATTTTGAGATTAAAAAACACTCAGATACATTTATCGTGGTGAATTTCCATTATTGTGATAATCGCGAATCAGTATAACCATGAATATCATCTCATGGCTTGACTTGAAAAAGCTGTCTAGCTTGCCAGCATTCAGTCCTATATTGGTTTCCTGATTTGAAAAAGGGGACAAGGGGGAGACCACTTCTTACCAGATATTGTGTATAATATGCAAATTTTCATGAAATTTTCATATTGTCCCTTGCATTGTATTAACATTGGTCATAATGGTGGTACTTGGAGAGCCTGATGGAGAACACTGACTGATCTAGAAGCCTGTGTTTGTTTTGTCCTTTCTGGGCTACTGTAGAGTACATGGCGGTTCAACATGGTGGCCTCTATAACAGAGGACCTGCTCCCTCCATAGATTCTAAGGTAATAAATACACAATTCTTCATATTTCTAGATAATTATACACTAATGAAAACATACCTATGAATATTACATTCCATATGTACCAGTAACGTTAGATCCTCCTAAATATTACACACTGGTCCTTTAACGTTACAGCTGGCTATAGCTGGCTTAAACAGAGTACAGTTCAAGAGAAGGAACACGGACAGTGGCTACAATGTGGCAACAAAAGGCAAAAGGATAATATATGAGCAGTAAAAGACCTTTAGCATCCCGTTCATGCCCGGGTGGTCATGCAGCGGTATGGAGGCGCCGGTCCCCAGCAGGAACACCCCCATGCTGAACACCTCAGTCTCGCAGATGTGCATGTAGGTAACCGGGGGGGTTTGGAGCCCCGCTGCCACGGAGCTCGGTTTGGTTTTCCGGGGTGCAATTTTGAGGTCGGCAGCCCTGACCGCAGTCACTAAAGAGATTAGTTCAGTCTGTTTCTCTGCAACGACATTGTTATCCCCGTTGGCCGCCGACTTAAAGATGGCATAGGCTTGCTTTGCGATTTTCTGGATAAGAGGAGTTTTGTTGTCCCGCGGCATCCTGGCTGCGGAAAAAATAACGGATATCGGTGGGTCTCTGGCACTCTTCAAATAAAACCGTTTTAAAATGCTTTGCAAATCCTCAAGTATCAGCAAATTTCCCCCGGAGCAGTTCGGTCCACGTTCAAAAAAGACATAATTGCGACTTTGATCAAAACAAAAGACATTTCATGGTGGTAATGTATAATTTCACCCTCAGATAACAGCCTCCCTCCACTCATTTTCCACCAACTCGCCTCCTTGTCTCCGCTCACGGAGCTGGCGCACGAAACGGAAATAAGCGTGGGATATGTAGTCCTATCGTTAAAATAAAAGTAATCTAATTCATGTAAATATGAACAGTAAAGCACTGCACAATTCGATCATGTTTAGCAGAGATTCGTGTGTAATTGTGTAAAATTAGGGTATATACTAATATACCTAAAACAATAAAGTATAATAAGGTAGCCTGCATTTCAGTGAGACTACATTTCCCAGAGGCCCTGGGGTGGAACAAAGTTGAAGAGGGGAAGGCCAGACAGGCCATTGAACTCCCCACAGCCCTCCCTGTCCAACATCACATGCTCTACCACAGCTTCTTCCTGCAGCCCTCACACATACTTTTAAATTTCCACTTGCTTAAAATGATAAATAGTGATTTTTAATCACAGTCAGAATTTAAGACCACAGATGTGTGTATCATTGTCATTAATTTTTGGCTCTGACTGCTTAAAGAGGAAGGCACCTGTAGAGGCCTCTAGCAGTCGGTAGGTCCCAATCTTTTTCCTTAAGGGACCCCATTGAGTAAACTGACTAAGTGACATATTTAATGGGCATTCAGGGCCCGAGCAGCAAAGTGCCCTGAAGGCCCTATTGAAAATGATCATTTAAAAGAAAAAAAAAAAAATTCTGCCAAAACTCATGAAACGCGGCACACATATCAGTCATGGTGAAAAATTACATATTCTATATGTCGTGCACATGTGTGGCAAAACTGTGTGTGGCTTGACAGCGCCCCCTAGACTAGCTCCAGTGGCATGATGCACCGATATGTATGAAAATCGGTACACATGTATATCATGCCCAGACATACAAAAAAAGCCTCTTGGACCCATACCCCAAACGCAAAAGGAAGTTGGCAATTTTGAATTTAGTGGTCATTTTTGGGAATTATGAGCAGATTATTTGATCTAATATTTAACAATAAGTTAGTTATTTTTGTTTCTATGTATGATTTTTAACAATAAGCTCCTTTTTTGACAATTGTCCTCGATGCTTGTTCTATTACCTTTTTGGCTGTTTTAATTGCATATTTTTCTAATTCAGGAGGCGGTTGTTTAGCAGAGAGTAAAGACCCTGTATATAGCTTGTGCTGTGTGAGTTTGAATATTAATTAAATATTTAAAGATAACAATTTCATTTAGTTTTCGTCACAGAAACAAAGGAAATGCTGAGATATAGGCCTACAGTATATCATTGTTAAGGTTGTCTTGTGACCTTGCATGATGTTTTGGCGACTCCTAGTGGGGGTTGGAATGAGTTCTCTTGCACATGATTTGACCTTGCACACTGTTTTGAACCTGCACAATGTACAGAATTATTAAATTAAATTAATTACACAAATAAATCTATTAATTAAAATCAATTAATTAAAGGTGGAATCCATAGATAAATAAATATCACCATCATGAAATCCTTTTGAAACATGTGCGCCATAATTTTGTGGGTTTTTTTTAGCTGACTCTACCTGGACTGGGAGACGAGAGCACTGGGGGAGGGTTGCAAGCACAGGAGCTATAGACTGCTGGGAGGAGGTTTTCAGGCCTAGGGCTACCCTAGCAGGGAATGTTGGTGGGGAGCAGTGCAGGAATGGGCACCAGAACTGGAGCCAGGTGAGCAGAGAACAGAACCACACTGTAAAAAAAAATAACTTAAAATTGTAAGGCAACAAACTTCAGGCAGATTTTAAGTTAGGAAATTCAACTTAACTGTTTAAGTTTTGCTTTTAAGTTTGTTCAACTTTCATTTTGAAGTTATTTGAACTCATGTTACCCTAGCTCAAGTTGTAGTTACTTATAATTTCACATTATCTCAACTTTGAATCCTTACTTCTACTAACCCCAAATTTCACATTAACTCAACTTTGAATCCTTACTTGTACTAACTCAACTCAAGTTGTAGTAACTCATAATTTCCCATTATCTCAACTTTGAATACTTATTTCTACTTACTCTACTAAAGTTGCAGTAACCTCTAATTTAACATTATCTCAACTTTGAATGCTTACTCTAATCAGAGTTATAGTAACTTATAATGTCACAATGTCACAACTTTGAGTTCTCATCTGTCAGAGTAATTAGTGTTAGTGTTAGTGTTAGAGAGTAATTTTAATCTATACATAGTACCCACTTAATTCCAGTAACTCAGATTTATCAATTAAGACCCATTACCATCAAATGTATAAATTATTACAGATGCATTGTCTACATTCAAAAAAATGTATTTTATCAAAACACATCTTGAATTGGAAGTGCTGAGACCCATAGCTGTCACAGTATTAGCACTTAACTTGTGCTGAAACACTACATATTAGAATGCATCATATCTTCAAAATACAATGAGGTAGTAAAACGTGGTGAGTCAACGAGGTGGAGTAATCTACACCAATATGTAATATTTAACAATAATTGTTCAATTAAGAAGATTCGGTTACCAAAAGATATACCTCATGGGTTGAAATCAAACTGCATACAGAAATAGTGTTGTCCAGAATTGTCAATCTAACAAAACTTATAGACTATAAAATAACAAATATTTAGGTCCAGAAGTTTCAGTCTCAGAACTAGTACTGGCAAAAAGGTATGTGTCATTGATTAACACACAATTAAATCTTAACATAAGCCACATGGTTACGAAAAATCCAAAAAGGTGCAGAGGTGGAGAAAGGGAACTTGAGAAAAAGAGAGAAAAGGGGAAGAGAGTAAAAGTACAAGATGTAGAAGATTCATCTCTGGCAAATGGCAACAAGAACATACAATTCACAACTGTCTCAGAACGTATCAATGTTCTCAGCTAACTTGCTACTTGCTGGATTCACTGAAAGAGTTTGTTTTTGAGGGATCTCACCCTTGCAGAGAAATCTATCCCAAGTTCCATGAAAACCTTCTGAATGGTTTCAAAAGTGTACCTCAGTTCTTTTGGGTACTGGAGGTTCAAAGCGTAGATCAGCTCAAAAAGGTATGCAAAAGCTATCAGCAGGTCAGGGAGATCCTGAAGGACGATGGCTTCTTCTACAATCACCGCAACGTTTATGACACTTGCAGGACCTGAACTATCATCATCCTCCAACACAGTCAGGATGCCCACAGTGAGGCCCTTCATCTGCTTCTGGATCAGTTGCCTTGTGATGACAGAAAGCAAATAACCAACACAATAGTAAATCAAACTGAAATAAATGTATCATTATATACTGTGGCTCAGAATAGGCTTTCATCTAAAATGATCCCAAATATTGTATACATTTTTTGTTTGACATATTAAAAATTTCCATGTCATTGCCCAAAAAATGTAATCCTCATATATATGACATCAGTTATATCATGCCATTGGCAGCAAAATCACACTGTATACATTTTCAGTTTCTACAAACAAGTCACTCACAAGACAGTTCCTGAACAGCTTCTCATGATTGTCACAGAGATACAAGGGAAGGCCCTTCAAGGCTGCAGTCTGTCAATGTCAAAAAATCCAAGAATTCCTTGTTATGCATTTACGTTCATAATTTCCAGAATATAATGAGATCATTACGTCAAAAATTCACCTCCTCATCCAGTCGGTTAAGGAGTTGATCCATCTGAGGTGGAAAAGCTGTTCTCCTAGCCCGATAGAGTCTAAGGAGCCCTGGAGTGTGCTGATTAATGGCTGCTCTGAAGTTGTCTATTAGGTTCTTGTTGGTGATCCGATGGAACTCTTCACTGATCTGTTGAAAAATTTTGAATAGCAAATATAAATCTTCAATACAAAGTCATACAATTCCAAAAATATGCATTTTATATAATCTCTGTACTTGTATTATTAGATCTTAGTGCTGCATTTGACACCATTGACCATAATATTCTTTTACAGAGATTTGAGCATCAAATTGGCATTAAAGGAACGGCACTAAGCTGGTTTAAGTCATATTTATCAGATCGCTCACAGTTTGTACATGTTAACGATGAATCTTCAATAAATACTACAGTTAGTCATGGAGTTCCACAAGGTTCTGTACTTGGAGCAATACTATTTACTTTATATATGCTCCCTTTAGGCAACATTATTAGGAATCACTCCATTAACTTTCATAACCACTGTTATGCAGATGATACGCAGTTATATCTATCAATCAAGCCCGATGAAATTAATCTATTATCTAAATTACAAACATGTCTTAAGGACATAAAATCCTGGATGACCTGCAATTTTCTGATGTTAAACTCAGAAAAAAACTCTTGTTCTTGGCCCCAAAAACCTTAGAGACTCACTGTCTAAAGATATAGTTACTCTAGATGGCATTAACTTGGCCTCTAGCACCACTGTCAGGAATCTTGGAGTTATCTTTGATCAGGATTTGTCATTTAACTCCCACATAAAGCAGACCTCTAGGACTGCCTTCTTTCATTTACGTAATATTACAAAAATTAGACACATACTATCACAAACAGATGCAGAAAAACTAATCCATGCATTTGTTACTTCAAGGCTGGATTACTGCAACTCCTTATTATCAGGTTGCCCCAATAAGTCCATTAAAACGCTCCAATTAATTCAGAACGCTGCAGCACAAGTACTGACAGGAACTAGAAAAAGAGATCACATCTCTCCTGTACTAGCTTCTCTGCATTGGCTCCCTGTAAAATGTAGAATAGAATTTAAAATCCTCCTCCTCACCTATAAAGCTCTTCATGGTCAGGCCCCTTCATATCTTAAAGAGCTCATAGTACCCTATTACCCCTCTAGAACACTACATTCTCTGAATGCTGGGCTACTTGTGGTTCCTATAGTCTCTAAAAGTAGAACTCTTTCTCTCTCTCTCTCTCACTCCAATTGGTCGAGACAGACAACCACCCACCTAGAGCCGAAGGATCTGTCCTAGGTTTCTGCCTTTTAACAGGCAGTTTTTCCTTGCCCTTGTCGCTAAGGTCTTGCTCATGGTGGTACTTTTGGGTCTCTGTAATTAATGTTTTAAAGAGTTCGGTCTAGACCTGCTCTATTTGAAAAGTGTCCT